AGACGGTCCCCCAGTTCAGTTTCCCCATCCCCGCCCGGACGAGTACATACACACATACATGCATGCAATCAACAAACTTTGACAGGACATCTAATCTTCCATGGACGTTCGACATTACTCGTGCGCACCACCATCTCCCATCACTCGGGGCTTCACACACACGACATGCATAGACAAAGCAACAATGGAGATGAAAGCGAGTCCTTCTTGTACACAAAAATTTCAATTAACTGCCGCCCCCAGGCGCAGACTTCAAAGACTCCCCAACACCACCGACCACCATAGCCACAAGGCCCTCCCGCCGCCGGCGTCCAATCCTCACCACTGCTCAATACCTCCGACTGCTTCGCCCCGAGACTACTGCGGGTCCACCCCACGTCGTCACTCCGCCCGTCCTTGGGATCGTCGAGCCTGTTCGGCGCTGCGAACTTTCGCACATAGCTCGCGCAGCATTGCAGCCGAGATCAAAGAGGAGGAGAGGAGAGGGTTGCGCGAATTTATAGCGCGGGAGGCGGCGGGTTGTCAGCGCGAGGTGCGGGCAGCGCAGGTTGTAGATGAGCAGGACAGGAGGAAGGTGGGGAGTTAGAGGGTTCAACCCGTGGGATGGCATGGTCCTCCGTGATTGGGGTGTCCGTTCAAGTGGCGGGCGGTTTCCTGCTCTCCACATTGATCCGAGCATCCCAACTACGCAGCCAATCACTTTGCGGGGTAAGGATCGAGCTGGGCGGAGGGGAAGATGAAGAGTCCGTCATGGGGAAAATGCGCGCAGCAAGAAGGGAAGATGGCGCGAGGATGCAAAGCAAGAAACGGGGATGCGAGACGCGCGAAGAAATCGAAGCTTGGGCGCGCGCGCAAAAATTCAAAAAGTCCCAACCGCACCCGTCTCTTGGTTTTCATACCGCGACCGCTATTTGCCCGCGGGAGTTATTAACCAAACAAAATGAAAAAGACGTTTCAAAAAGAAAACAAAAGCAAAAAGAAAGAAAACCCCTTCCTATCCGCGCGCGTACTTCGGGGCTTCCGCGGGATTTTTCCCCAGGGATACGGCAAACCGTGCGGTACGGATTTGAGTTTTTCACATCTGTGATACGCAGGGGGTTCTGAAAAATTACCAGTCTCACGACTGCTGATGTCATCATATCTTGGATGATCGGGCGGCCTCTTCATCGTCAGCTGGCCCGATCATCTTCCTAATCTACGTGGATGCATCCTGCATCCTCCATCGCCTCCTCCCATAGTATACACCCGATCGGGCGGCCCCTTCATCGTCAGCTAGCCCGATCGGTAAAAAGGATTTCTATTTTTTTATTTTATATATATATATATATATATATATACAGTGTGTCTCGACGCGCGAACTTTGGTCATAGGAGAAGAGGATGATGGAGAGAAGGAGAAGGAGAGAAGCGGGGAAAGGTAGACGAGGGTGATCAGACGAAGTGATCGATGTCGGGATTGAGAGGGGGCGGAATAGGTGAAAGAAAAGCGGCCATTGCCGCAGGAGTCATCCGCGCATCTTCCCCCTGGAAGTGGTGCTGGACGAACGAGGGATAGAGGAAGGCCCCCGGCACATGAGACAGGACACGTGGCGCCAAATCCGCCACCGCTCGCACCACCCGCTTGCGCACCAATCGGGGCCCTGGACCCGTCATCACCACATGAGTCTCGGTGTCAGGCCGCCGCTCCCGCTTCTGCGCCGCGAAGACAAGGAAGTGGTACACTACATTGGGACGCTGCCCGGTCTCGTAGATGAGCGTCCCAGTTAATCGCGCCGCAATACACCCTTGAAAAGGGGGTGTCAGATATGGCTCCCAGGTCGGATCAGGGTGCGGCGCCCCCGCGATGGCCTCGAGCCTAATGGTGGCGGGCTCCACCATGAAGTCCACCTCTGTCGGATGGACCGTCCGGCTCGGAGGAACTACTAATGTCAATGACCGGGGCACCCCAGGGTGGCTGGCGGGAACGGAGAGGTCCCGTGAGGACGGGGGGTTTGGATATGGGATCCGGAAATCCCATTCGGCTTCCTCCTCCGGCTGCTGCTGATGATGATGGCCCGGCTCCATCAAGATTGAGATCAGGCACAAGTGGAAAGGGTGGCGATGGCACGACTATCTCCTTAACAAGCGTCGCCACACACGAGGGCTGAATCACTTCCTCGCCGCCGCCGATCCTGCTGCCTTGCGCTCCTGGCAACGGGTGGCGTCTCTTCCTCTTCGGCGTCTTCTCAGGGGCCTTTGGTGGAGGCCACAAAGGCCTTTCCTCCGGGAAGTCCTCCAACCTCTCCGCCCGCTGCCTTTCCTCCGGGAAGTCCGCCAACCTCTCCGCCCGCTGCGCAATGAAATCCGGGATGATGACCGCGTTGTACGTCCTCCGCGGGGCCGTCGCCGTCCGCAATCGCGGTTGGATCTCCTCGTCCTCGCTCGCGATCACTTGCGCAATGGAGAGGAGCTCAAGGTGTATGAGCTCCAACAATCCCGGATCGATCGTCTGGAGCTGGGCGAAGGGGTACAGCGCCACCGTCCCTTCCTTCTTCGCTGGCTTGGGCCGTGTGATGACGTAGTAGACGACAAAGTGCTCCCCGATGCAGTGGTCTTCGTGATCCACGAAGAACCGGAACATCCCCAGCGCCACCGACTTGTACAGCGCACGGTGCAACCCCCACGCGTCTTCGTCGGCGAAGGGCAGCAGCTCCACGTCAGTTAGCTCCACCAAATACTCCGAGAACTCGCGCATGGGATATGGGCCCTCCGTGAGTTGGTAGGGGAGAGTGGTGTAGGAGAAGAAGGGAGGCATTTAGTACGGGACAGGGGGAATAGCTTGGAAGTTGAGAGGAGCAGTGGGAGGGAGAAGCGCGGGGAGCTGCGGCACCAACGCAATCGGTCCGTCCTCTGCCCTACGCAGCACCACTTTGTGGGCTGTGAATCGATGTCCCCCCCGTCCTTGCAATCTGGCCACTGATCTGGCCGCTTCCACTGCGTATTCGCGCACAAAGCTGCACGCCGGCTCCCGATTTGGCTGTGGTAGTATCGTCAAGTCTCCGATGAAGGTGGCGACGCTGTGCGCGAAGTTGGGTGCCACTTGGAGCGCGCGAAACTCAATGAATACTCGGGTCGACTGCTTCACGTCCACGTACATCCCCGCATACGTCAGCCGATCGCAAAGCAACGAGTACGCCGCCAAATCAGCAACCCCGAGATTTGGCACGTTCACCTGCTGGATGTCGTACCGCAACTGCCTTTCCTCATTGAACCAATGCCGCAACAAGCGATCTGCAAGCGGCGTCTGGAAGTGCTCGAGGGGCTTATGCTCCGGCTGGCGATGGTTCATCCTGCTCCCTGAAATTCTCAGCACCGATGGACGAGGCAGATCGTGAAGAGGAGGAGGATGAAGAAGGAGAGGGTGATCTCGCAGGAGCGGGGGTCCGTAGGGGACCTAGCGATGGCTGGAAGGGCCGGAGCGCGGCAGCGTGCCGTGTCAGCAGTCGGGCCTGGGAGTTGTGACAGGGAATCAGCTTCACTGCGTGCTGTCCCTGTGCGCCAACTTCCGTGACCTCATAAATGCCTGTTTAGCGTGGGTGGATCTTGGAGGAGCGCGCAGATTTCTGTACCTGCACCAACTCCCCAACTTTATAGCGGGGCAGTGGTCCCGCCGACGCGTGTCGATTCTCGTAGTCACGGATCTGCCGTTGATGTGTCCGATCTACGGCCTGCTGTCAACGGCGAGCTAACGGGGGATAGGCCCTAGCCATTAAGTCCATGTAGTGGCGGGCCTTATCTCGGTTCTGGGCTCGTGTTGCTCTAACTCTCGTACCTACTAAGGGGGACAATTGCACCCGAGGGACACTATTGGTTCTCAGTTGAAAGGGGGAAACCCCAGTACTACCGTGTGGGGTAGCCCGATAAACGACCAAGACGTGGTCGACAATGACCGGCCAGGGCCGGGTGTCTCCCGCAGTGATATTCCGTCTAAGGGCGGTCTTAATCAGTCGGTTGGCATTCTCCTCCAGGCCATTGGCTTGAGGCCAATGGCCCGACGAGTAGATAATCTTAACGTCCGCCCTGACTAGGTGACGTTCTACTTTGCCTTGAAATTCCGACCCATTGTCCATGTGTACCTCTTCCACGTCTAGATGCATGCACAAAAATCGATTTACCTACCAGGCTACCTCCTGCGAGTTCCGGCTGGTCATAGGGTACGCCTCGATCCATTTTGAAAAATGATCGATGGCTACTAAAAGAACATTGAGTTCTCCCTGATCGACGGGACCTCTCGGAACGTTGATATCCGTCGTATCGATGCTAAACCTCTGAAAGGGGCGCTCTACACGAGTGGGCACCATCGTTCGAGGCATCTGTACCGGCGCCTTGTCCGCCGCGCAGGCCGGGCAATTTTGAACGATGTATTTCACATCTTCCCGGATTCCCGACCAGTACCATTCGTTCTTTTCGATGGTTTTTTCCGTGTACTTGACCGCGAAATGGACCGGATCCTCCTCATGAGCGGCTCGCGTCCAATGGAACCTAGCGAGAGGGTGTGGAACCGTCAACCAGCTAGACCCTCCGTCATCATCGACTTTTCGTTTTTGTAACGTCGGTCCCTGCCAACGATAGTCCTGTGCCCGCTCCGTGACTCTCCGCGGTTCGGCTTTGGTAAGTTCTGATAGCGAGTCGCCTGACAGTCTCCGTAGCAACAGGAGGTACGGTCCAGGCTTATGCCCAACGGGCACTTAGCGCGAATCCGTCGGCTGTTCTAGCGTCCAGGAACCGCTTCTCGGTAGGGACTTGGTCCGTTCTACAGTTGGGACAGACCCATGTCTTTTCACTTCGGTACCTAACGCACTGTCCGTGAGATTTGACCGTATAACACCGACTACACTGTACCCATAAAAGAAAACTGGGCCCTCACGGATGTGACCCTTCTTGGTCCGAGGCCATAGGCAAAGTACAGAAGAAACAGGGGCTTAGATGCATTTCAGGGGACGAGTAGGGACTAGACAAGAGAGCGAGGGAGTTGGATGAGGGCAAAGAGATCCCGTCTGCCATCTCCGGCGAAACCTCCATTCCGGACTCAGGCGTCGTTCTTGTGCAGCACGTGTAGCTCCCCGTAGTGCGGTTTCGTCGCCGCGACTTCTGGCCTCCACGGAATGAGTCGCTCGTTGGCAGGACACTTGTTGGGCAGCAGGAGGCGCGTCAATCCATTGGCGTTACCATGCTGCCGCGTGGCACAGTGGCGGATGTCGAAGTCATAGTCTTGCAGACGCACCGCCTACCTGCCCAGCGTCCCCGTGTAGTGCGTGTTGTTGCGTAGGGACAGCAGCGGCAGATGATCCGTTACCAGCACGAATTTCTGGCCGTAAAGATACGGTCGAAAATGCTGGATCCCCCACACCACCGGAAGGCGGCGGGTTGTCAGCGCGAGGTGCGGGCAACGCAGGTTGTAGATGAGCAGGACAGGAGGAAGGTGGGGAGTTAGAGGGTTCGACCCGCGGGATGGCATGGTCCTATTGGGGTGTCCGTTCAAGTGGCGCGCGGTTTCCCGCTCTCCACATTGATCCGAGCATTCCAACTACGCAGCCAATCACTTCGCGGGGTAAGGATCGAGTTGGGCGGAGGGGAAGACGAAAAGTCCGTCATGGGGAAAATGCGCGCAGCAAGAAGGGAAGATGGCGCGAGGATGCAAAGCAAAAAACGGGGATGTACGTGGACGTGACGCAGTTGCCTGGCCGGGAGACGACCCGAGTATTCATTGAGTTTCGCGCGCTCCAGGTGGCACCCAACTTCGTGCACAGCGTCGCCACCTTCATCGGAGACTTGACGATCCTACCACAGCCAAATCGGGAGCCGGCGTGCAGCTTTGTGCACGAATACACGGTGGAAGCGGCCAGATCAGTGGCCAGATGGCAAGGACGGGGGGGACACCGATTCACAGCCCACGACGTGCTGCTGCGGAGGGCAGAGGACGGACCGATTGCGTTGGTGCCGCAGCTCCCCGCTCTTCTCCCTCCCGCTGCTCCTCTCAACTTCCAAGCTATTCCCCCTGTCCCGTACTAAATGCCTCCCTCCTTCTCCTACACCACTCTCCCCTACCAGCTCACGGAGGGCCCATATCCCATGCGCGAGTTCTCGGAGTATTTGGTGGAGCTAACTGACGTGGAGCCGCTGCCCTTCGCCGACAAAGACGCGTGGGAGTTGCACCGTGTGCTGTACAAGTCGGTGGCGCTGGGGATGTTCCGGTTCTTCGTGGATCACGAAGACCACTGCATCGGGGAGCACTTTGTCGTCTACTACGTCATCACACGGCCCAAGCCAGCGAAGAAGGAAGGGACGGTGGCGCTGTACCCCTTCGCCCAGCTCCAGACGATCGATCCGGGATTGTTGGACCTCATACACCTTGAGCTCCTCTCCATTGCGCAAGTGATCGCGAGCGAGGACGAGGAGATCCAACCGCGATTGCGGACGGCGACGGCCCCGCGGAGGACGTACAACGCGGTCATCATCCCGGATTTCATTGCGCAGCGGGCAGAGAGGTTGGCGGACTTCCCGGAGGAAAGGCAGCGGGCGGAGAGGTTGGAGGACTTCCCGGAGGAAAGGCCGTTGCGGCCTCCCTCGTCGTATCCTCGACCAACGCCACCAAAGGCCCCTGAGAAGACGCCGAAGAGGAAGAGACGCCACCCGTCGCCAGGAGCGCAAGGCGGCAGGATCGGCGGCGGCGAGGAGGTGATTCAGACCGCGCGTGAGGCGACACTCGTTAAGGAGATAGTCGTGCCATCGCCGCCCTTTCCGCGTGTGCCCGATCTCAATCTTGATGGAGACGGGCCATCATCAGCAGCAGCAGCCGGAGGAGGAAGCGGAATGGGATTTCTGGATCCCATATCTCGACCCCCCGTCCTCACGGGACCTCTCCGTTCCCGCCAGCCACCCTGGGGTGCCCCGGTCATTGACATTAGTAGTTCCTCCGAGCCGGACGGTCCATCCGACAGAGGTGGACTTCATGGTGGAGCCCGCCACCATTAGGCTCGAGGCCATCGCGGGGGCGCCGCGCCCTGATCCGACCTGGGAGCCATATCTGACACCCCCTTTTCAAGGGTGTATTGTGGCGCGATTGGCTGGGACGCTCATCTACGAGACGGGGCAGCGTCCCAATGCAATGTACCACTTCCTTGTCTTCGCGGCGCAGAAGCGGGAGCGGCGGCCTGACACCGAGACTCATGTGGTGATGACGGGTCCAGGGCCCCGATTGGTGCGCAAGCGGGTGGTGCGAGCGGTGGCAGATCTGGCGCCACGTGTCTTGTCTCATGTGTCGGGGGCCTTCCTCTATCCCTCGTTCATCCAGCACCACTTCCAGGGGGAAGATGCGCTGACGACTCCCGCGGCAATGGCCGCTTTTCTTCCACCTATTCCGCCCCCTCTCAATCCCGACATCGATCACTTCCTCTGATCACCCTCGTCTACCTCTTCCCGCTTCTCTCCTCCTCTCCATCATCCTCTTCTCCTATGAGTCTATGACCAAAGTTCGCGCGTCGAGACGTGCTGTATATATAAATTTAAAAAAAAAAA